CTGAACTGCTTGGACATACACTATCCAGGGGTTCTCAGTGAATGCTCTGTCCCCTCACAGATGCTGGAGAGCATGATCAAGAAGCCCCGCCCCACCCGGGCTGAGGGTAGTGACGTGGCCAATGCAGTCCTGGATGGAGCTGACTGCATCATGCTGTCTGGAGAAACGGCCAAAGGGGACTACCCTCTGGAGGCTGTGCGCATGCAGCATCTGGTGAGTCCATCTCCGGGGATCAGGCTGGGGTGGGGTATGGAGGTACACGCTGGCACAGAGGCACACCAAGACTGTCCTGTTACCATTAGCCTCAAAGTCACCTTAACAAGAGTGAAGGGAGTTGGGGGGGTGTGCTGGAGAGGTGGGAGATAAGCAGGTCACTGTTGTTCCGTTCTGCCTTCGTTACACACACCACATCTATTTCTTTGTGCTCTGGAGGCTTCCTCCTTGATCGAACGTAGCTCAGCGCTGCTAGGAGTTTAACTTTCACTCTGGCTTCAAGGCTGTGGCTGGTTCCCTTGGCTTAAGTCCTGAGCTACTTGCATAGTCAAAGAATGCCTTCATATCACTTCACTCTGGGTAGTCCAGAGAGCCAAATGCCTGCTGTGTTGTGGGGGGGCGGGGGGGGGAATGGGAAAGCACAGAACTTCACACTTCCAGGCATCCTCGTTATTTGGCATCCAGTTTGAATCTTTACCTAGTCCACAAACAGGTCTTCCCCGACAGGAGTCTGTGAGCCTGCCCAAGAGCCTGCTTCCTGTACAGAGCTGACTGTGAGCTGGCCTTGCATGGTGCCTGGACCAGGGCCTGCCTTGCTGGGCTTTTGGGATGCAGCTATTTCACTCAGTTGAGTCCAAAAAGTTAGATTTAAATTACTTGACAGCAAGTCCCCACGTAGAGGCAGGTGGAAGAGTAGTTGGTCCTGGCTGCAGGAGTCACAGGTAGCGAGTGACTCTTTCTCCCCACAGCCTGGCCTACTGCCCAGCCACATGTGTCTGGTTAAAAGGAGTGCCCTCAATGAGCATTTCACCCAGCATGGGGGTCTAGCTTAGTGAACATGATAATAGGGTTTTTCCCAAACCTCCCTATTCCCTTTCCAGCCAACAAAGGTCTCCACAACCTTTTGTGTGCCCCTTCACGCTCCCCAAATTTAAACCGCCCCCCAAAACCCCGTAGACTAGCTGTCTTCTTTTTTCTCTGGAGCTAATTGTTGAGTTTACATTGCTTCCAGAGAAGATGTGCCACGTAGTGAAACCCTTTTGTTCATGGTGGACTAGAGTCATGCTGGAGTAAGGATGTCTTCTGGACTGTCCTTGGCATGCTTGCTAGATTTTCCCATTGAAAACAGTGGAGACTAGTCCGCTGCCCCTGGGCCTGGCTGATAAGTCACATTGTTTGGGTGACATGATTGGTTCTGATGCTCAGGAGCACTTGGTTCATTCTCCTGACTGCCTCAGTGGACACTGGACCTTGAGCAAGTCACCTCTCTCTACCTTTCCTGTAATTGCCTCACCTGTGCAGCCTCATGGCTTTGGAGGTGGGAGGGTCGCAGAACTTGACTTGATGTAATGAACCAGGTTGACTTTATATATATCCAACTGTTATATATATCAATTATATGTGTATATATACATTATAGTCAAGTCACTCAAGAGCTCTACGCCTCCCCGGTAAAGTGGGTTAGGTAAGGACCCATAGTGGGGTGAGAGCATGGGTCTCTAGGCACTGAGTTTTACATGTCCTTTCTCTCCATATCCCATTGTCTCCTATGGACAGACAGACACTCTTTAGAGGTCAGGCTTGGCTTGCATGGCACGGCTCAGAAGATCAAGTTGTGGGAAATGGGTCAGGCTGCAGCTGCCCCTCCTTTCAGGTCACTAGTTAACATTAGCCAGAGCTCCTCCCCTTAACTGTTCACTGCTTTCTCCTGTGTCTAAATGTGGGGCACTTAATGACCCATAACTAAAGGCTAGGCACTACCCCAGGTATGGTTCTGCTTCCTTTTCATTTTTATTTCCCCTATCCTTGATCTGCATGCATCTAGTCTTGCAGACAAACCCTTTAACCTCATCAATCCTACCCTGCATCTGCTTGTCCTGTCAAGTGAATGAGACGGTTGGTATTACTCATTCCTCCCCTCACCCCTCATTCTCTAAGGTGCCAGAAATTTGCAGTATAATCCTCTAGCGTTTACATTTTCTTTCTAATTCTTGGTGTTACCTGAACAGGTAGATCATAAAATAACTTAGTGACTTTCTCATGCTTGAAAGAACCCTCAAACTGTTAATCAATAGATTTTAATTGAATGTCTAATTAAGCTAATCTGCATGCTTCCACAGGCGTCTGCCTCTTCACATGGCTGCTCAGTGTGTCTCTCAGAAGTCAGCGAGAGTTCTCAATTGAGCCTCCTGGTTAGAAACACAGTTCGCCGTGTGGCTTTTTCTTGATATTTCCAGAGCCTGCTCAGTCCGTTTCCCTGGCAGGCCATTGGATAGGCTCGCCCACATCCCTGTTGGAAGCCAGGCAGGCGCTCACTGGTGCATGGGATCCAGGCAGGAAGCCCTGTGCTAACCACATAGCCATGTGAGGAGGGAGGGCCTGTTCCTTCCTGTAAGCTGTGTCAGGAGGCAGCGTGGGCAAGTCCTCTGCCAGGGAGTTGCTGGGGCATGTCTCCATGCCAAAATGTCAGAGCCATCCACCCCACATCTCCCTTCTATTCCTACCCCAGTCCAGAACCAATTCTCCCTGTAGTTGAAATTCTTCATGCCTCCCTGAGTAGTCTGGCTTTCAACCACTCTGCCTCTTTGCATCTATGTGAAGGATAAATTTAGCCAATTAACCTAAGGGGACCTTCCTCTCTGATTAATTCCCCATTCTGTCTTTCCATGTGTTGTCTCTTGTCTCTTTCCTCCTTCCTCCATCTTCCTTGCCCTCCTTCCCCTCCACACCTTACAGATAGCTCGTGAGGCTGAGGCAGCCATGTTCCACCGCAAGCTGTTTGAAGAACTTGTGCGCGCCTCCAGTCACTCCACAGACCTCATGGAGGCCATGGCCATGGGCAGCGTGGAGGCCTCTTATAAGTGTTTAGCGGCAGCTTTGATAGTTCTGACGGAGTCTGGCAGGTAGGGCCCTGGAGGCAGGTACCACTGTACAGGATAACCAGCGTCTTGCTCCAGCTGCTCGAGAAGACAGCCAGGACAGCGCCCTGTGCTTGGGGCCTGGGCCCAGGGCCTTTGTTCTCACCTGCAGGAAGGCAGCCAGGGAGGTCATGCTAGGACAGGACCAGAGGGTCCTCTGGTGTGATAGGCACAACAGGAGTCACAGGCCCCTGGTGAAGGGCGGACCCTAAGAGTCCTGGTCTGGCTCAGTGATTGGTGTCCTCTTGACCTCTAGACCAAGGGCCATGTTCCTCACCAGCTGTCTGTGTGCCTTTTCCCCTCCCTCCCCAGCTCTGACAAAGCTCTGTCCCCCTCTCGTCCCTCTGGATGATATTGCTCCCCTAGATTGCCCGTGAGGCAGAGGCTGCTATCTACCACTTGCAATTGTTTGAGGAGCTCCGCCGCCTGGCGCCCATTACCAGTGACCCCACAGAAGCCACCGCCATGGGCGCCGTGGAGGCATCATTCAAGTGCTGCAGTGGGGCCATTATCGTCCTCACCAAGTCTGGCAGGTAGGAGGCGGGGGCAGCTCCCGGGGGAGGCCCTGCTCAGTGGGGTCCCAGGAGCAATGCACTGAACATTGCTCAGCTGGTGCTGAGTCAAGGTAAGAGCCCACTACTTGTCACCTGGACCCTGCAGGGCAGGAGCTCCCCCAGCCCCAAAAGACTCTAGGCAGCAACCACAAGGGAAACTGGCCAAAACCGGTTTACAGCTTCATAGCACACTGGAGTCAGTCACATTGCCTAACAGCTAACAAGTGTCCGTTTGATATTTAAGAGCTGATCCTCTAAAATAGAAGAAGGCAGCCAGTTTTAACTAATTGCTGCTATAATGTACTCTTGGAACTTTACAATGTGCTGTTCACTTGATCAGCTGTGTCCCCCATGAAGGTGCACCAATCCCCATCTGTCGTTGAACCCCAAAGACAAGTAGATTCTAGCCCAGGAAGACTCACTGGTTGTCTTGCTGGCACTTTGAGAACGGCACAGGCCAGGTCTCAGACGTGGGACCCCTAGCCGTGGACATACGTCTAAAGGTTGAGTTTTTGCGACCCTTCACCTGTGAGGAGGGTGCGCCTTACCCTGCTTGAGAGGCAGGTGAAGAGGATGATGAGCAATTGCTGCACCAAGGAGCAGCAGATGGTCTTAAGGGAAGGGTCCCACCTCCCACTCTAAATCTTCCAACCATTAGGGTTGACCTTTGACAAAAAAAGGGTCCCAACCTTTGCCATTTGACTATTATTAGCTCCAGTCTTCTGGGATTTCACTCACAGCTGGTCCTGACTTCAGTGACTACTCCTCTTTGAAGGCCTTGTATGAAGGCCAGGCCTTAAGCAGGGCCATCTCCGCTGTGACACAGCTCAAGTTTCCCTAACAACTGTTGAGTGCCCTCAGGGCCTTCCTTCTAGGGTCCAGTTCCTTTTGCAAACCCTTTCTCAGCTCCTGAGAGAAGCCAGGGGCACACACCTGGTAATGTGGAATCTCAGAGGAGCCTTCACAGGCCAGAGCAGCTTCCACACCAACACTGCTACCTCCTGAGTAGCATCCAGACTTCTAAGCCCTGTTTAGATGCTGGGGTTTGACTCTGGCACCCGGAACTTAGTTGCTAGGACCGTTTCGAGGATTGTGGTTAGTGTGGGCTAGGGAGAGGGGGCCGCAGTGAGGCCGGTCAGCCCGGCACCTATTCACGTAGCTGTTAAGAGTCAGGTGTTCGTTCACATGCTGCTTGCCTTCATTAGAGCTGTTACTGGCTGTAGGAGGCATGAGTATTGGGGAGGTTGGACCAGGGTACCTCCCTGTGTCAGAATGGAAAAGTTGAGTGCAAGGAAAGGGTTGAGCCAACCATAGGCCATGTTGGAGTGTGACCGACTGCTGGGTCAGGAGGATCTTGGGGTCGTGGCTTGTTGGCAAGGGATTAATTTCTGTAGAGGATACAGAATGAGAGGCTATTCTGGGGAGCCCAGGAAGCAGAGGTTTAAATGGCCAGGGCCTTTCAGACTGGCACTGTTAGGTGGGTTAGAGGGTGGGTTGGGCTATTGCTAAAGCAAAGCTTTTAGGCCTTACAGTGCTTCCTGGCAGGCTCCTGGGGCATGGTTTAATGGTCTCTCTTCCCTGTCCCCTGTCCCCTATCCCGTCCCAGGTCTGCTCACCAGGTGGCCAGATACCGTCCCCGTGCACCTATCATCGCTGTGACCCGGAACCACCAGACAGCTCGTCAAGCCCACTTGTACCGTGGCATCTTCCCCGTGCTTTGTAAGGACGCCGTGCTGTCAGCCTGGGCCGAGGATGTGGATCTCCGAGTGAACCTGGCTATGAATGTCGGTGCGTGTCCGGGAGCAAGGGCTAAGACTTGGAGGGACAGGACCCCACTGGACTCTGAAGGTTTGGGGAGTGGGAGGAGGAACATGCAGACCTTAGAGACCCCTGTCTGACCACGCTGGGAGTGGTCTCTCTGAATTCTCCCTGTCATTTCCTAAAGTCCTGGGCTAAAACCAAAAAGGGAAGAAGGACCTTTGGGTTGCTGAGCTACGCAAATTTTTCCCTTTTCCCCCTCTTTGAGGCCCTAAAGCAAGAGATCATGTTCTTTGGCAACTGCTCATTACTGAGCTTTCTTAGATCATTGGCCAGTATATGCCAGTGTGGTCTTTGTCCTTGTATAAGGACAAGATGTCACTGGATGAGAGGAAGCAGCTATCTCTGGCCCGGGCCTCGCCACCGCTAGGGTACATGTAAAACGAATGATACCCAAAAGTCCTTGCCAACTCTGGCCATCAAGGTTTTGCCTGAGATTTGAGGCTGGCGCCATCTTGTGGCCTGACGAGGTAATTTAAGTCCGTTGGTACTGCCTTGCTGTCTGTGGAGCAGTTTCTCCCAGGTGCTGAACCTGCTTTATTAATACACGACTCTCTCTTTTCTTCCTCCAGGCAAAGCCCGGGGCTTCTTTAAGACTGGCGATGTGGTCATTGTGCTAACCGGATGGCGCCCTGGCTCCGGCTTCACCAACACCATGCATGTCGTGCCAGTACCATGATGAGCCTGGGACCCTTCCTCTAGCCCCTGCCCTCTCCCCTGCCCCCAACCCTTCCATTAGGTCAGCAACATTTGTAGTGCTTACTCGAGGCTGTAGTGCAGCACTGGGGGGCTGGGACACCAGGGAAGAAAGCTAAGAATCTCTCTGTTGAGGTTCTTAGGACTGTTTTAAGACCCTGCTCAGGTGGGGATAGCTCAGAGCCTGGCTGCCCATCTTGAGACTCCCCCCAAACAAAGGAAGAATGAGGGGTGCAGGACTGGAAGCCCTGAGCTTATTTAATGCAAGAGGTCAACAAAGCGCCCACTCTTTCGTGTATTTCATTCAGTTCCTGTAGAAAACGGATACCCAAAGAATGCTCCGCCCTGGCTTGGGGTGGGGAGACAGCTTGAGCAGGGGCGTTAGGGCATGGGCCAGTGGTTCCAGCAGAAGCCGACTCGGCCTCTGGCCCTTACTTGTTTACCCAGCCCCTCAGTCTCCCTCCTTCCCACCGTGCTGTTTGTGCATTTGGGCACCTCTGTTTCCGGCACTCTTCAGTTGTCACCTCAGACAAACACTCCACCCTCCACCTTCCATGTTGCCCAGTACTGCAGCCACCTCCAGGCCTGTTGCTATAGAGCCTACTTGTACGTCAATAAACAACAGCTGAAGCACCTGTTTCCTCTCTTTCTCTGCTGGGGAGATTTAGCCCTGCCCCCTCTGAACAGAGCAAGCTGGCAAGAGCCTTGGGGGCGGGGGGTTGTTCAGTGTTATTTCAGGTTGCCTGCCATCTCTGGGGTGCTGCGAAAGCAGCAGCTGACTCTTGGGGGGTTAAGTTATCCCATCAGTCTCTTGAGAGAGTGGTGGAATGCCTGTGTCGTTGAAAAGCTGTGTGAGTGGGTGGGGACATTTTAATAGCTATGTGAACAGAAGAGACATGGGCAGGGCAGTTGGGTTCTCTTTCCTGTTCTGGTGGGTATAACCAGGGCCCTCTCCCTACCCCTCCTTAGGTCTTACTGCAATAGAGGGGGCTTGTATGGTCTGGGTTCTGCTTCCAGAAGTGGCTCTGGGCTCACTTTTGGGCCCATGTCATTTGTAAATGCTCCCCCTCTCCCATGCAGCAGGGCTAATGCTCTGGGAGAGGGTTGAGAATAAGACAAAATCTGACCTATTCTTACCCCTTCTTCTAACCACTTCCCAGGACCAAGCACTAACCCCTGGGGTAGGAGGCAAGTTGGATAATAGGACTTGTCTCATTTCAAGGCCCACTTGGGTCCAGTTCCTTGTCACACTGCCCCACCAATTACTGAGACCCTCATTGTCCATTTACCTACCCTTGATCTCTGGCCCTTTCAGTTCATCTGCAGACTGATAGCTTTTTGTCTTTGGGAGACAGAAGTTTCCAATTGTGCCTTCTGGTTCCCACTCTCTAGAGTGACACACTGGCTGCCTTATTCAAATCCCCCTTCGTTGATCTATACTTGACACCTCATTTTACCTGTATGGAGATAAATTGGAACCTACCAGAGTCCTGGTATGGACTGTGGGTTAACGTGCCAGACTGCAAAGCCATTTGAACTTCAAAGTCAGCAGTTTAAGCTTAGAAACCCAGTTCAGGGTTGCTATGGGTCAGAATCCACTTGACCAGCACATTAACCAGACATTGGCAGAGTGGTTACCATTGGGCTGCGAACTCAAAGGTCGGCCGTTTGTATCTACCAGCTGGCCTTCATAAAGATTACCCTATGCAGGGTCTGAGTTCACCATCAGAACTCAGATCCTGCATAGGGTAGGAGGACAGGAATGGGTTACCCTAGAGCAGAGGCAGGTCTAAGGTATGACAGTGTCTTGAGCGCCCCTTAAAGCAGAGGCACCGCGCTATGAGATCAACCAGATTCAAACTAATACATACTTGAGAGGGTCCACAGTTCAAGGGAGACTAATCTTAACTCTGCTGAGTATAGGAAGAAGCTGCTTTTAAAATGACTAAGCACATCACAGACCAATTTTTTAAAAAATGTTTTATTGTGAATTGTGCGATAGTTTACATGGAAGAACATTAGTTTTACATTCATTCTGTCATACATCGTTTCATTGCCATAGTTACCATCCCGTCAATGCATCATCGCCCAACCAAAGGGTGTACCCTGCAAGCCTGCCACCCCCCACCCACAGTCCTCAGCACACATCCCCTTTCCCTCTCTGGATCTCAAGTCCCCAGCCACTCCATCTCTTCACGTCATCTTCTGTGCCTCCATCTCAGGCCTCACTGCTTTTCTGGGTAGGGTCCCACTCTCCGCTCTTTATTGATGGTTTCAGGGCCCTCCACTCCTAGACTGAAAAGTTAATCACTCCCCTCCTTGCTATATAAAATGTCCACCTTTACATTTCCAACCCTCACAATCAATCCTGATAACAATTCTTCACTATTGCATCACAAGAACCCCATCTGCATTTAATTTCATCAGCCCTTCCTGGACAGGCTGGATACTATTCACTGGAGACTCTACCTTCCTCCATGCCCTTTGGATCTAGGTTCCCTCTTGAAAGCTTGTAAGCCAGTCACTTCTTACCTTTGTATCCCTCCGCCCATTTTGGGTAGCCAATATCCAAGTTGCCCATCTCTGTCCACTCTGTGAGGAGGGGATGAGAATAATTCTTGAAGCAGGGATTTGTTTCCTCTTTTGAGCTACTGCATTTATAGGTGTAGGTCAAGTTTATCAAATTGTATCAGATGACACTTTTTTCCTCTTCTTTCTTCTTCGGGTTAAGTTCTGTTCATCCAGTCATTGAAGCCAGGTCAAGTGGGTATCATCTGCAAGTGTGGGTGTTCTTGTGTCTGTCTGCCCTTTTCTTACCAGCTGGCCACTTCGCTCTCCACTCTAGTCCTCTGTGGCTGTGTCATTGACTCTGAGCCCATGAGTCCCCAGGTCTTGCCTTGCTGCTGGCCAACCAGGTCTCCGCCCAGGTTCACAGTAGTCTGCTGAACGATGTAGGGCTTAGCTCCCCGCTTCATTGATGTTCTTCTGTCACTTCCCCTTATGGTTGCCAATCAGAGCATGTATTTCCATTGCGTATTAGTCTTGGAAGAGGATTTGCACTGAGAGGACCCGACCACTTACCTTGATGTCTCCTGGGCAAGCAACTTGCTTGTCCTTGTGGTAACAGTCGGACTGCCCTTATTGTTTTGTATTTTTCCTGTAGGTCTTTCTTTCAAGAAGTATCTTCTGGTTTTTTAGCTGCTCCAGGCTGGTCTGCTTGTCCTTTCAAGTGGACTATTTCCCATCTCTTAAGGTCTGGACGTGGTTCAGGCTTCCACCCATAGTCACAGACCAATTTTTGTCAGTGAAAACAAGAAAGGTGCTGTTGTCATTTTCATGCAGTGCCAAAATGTGATTAAAGATGAACAAGCTTGAATTAGTTCCACTAAGTGACCCTGGAGTCCTGCTGTGGTGCTGTAGGATAAGCAGTCCACTCGAATCCATAGCTGCTCAGAAACCGCACTTAACAACATACGGTTTCCTAGGAGCAACTGGTGGGTTTGAACCGCCGACCTTGCGGTCAGTAGTCCAGTGCTTATCCTACAGTGCTACCACTCCGATATGGTAAAGTTACCAAAAAATGAGTGTCAAATGTCCCGACAGGGGTGCGATTTTCCAGAGGGGAAAATGTCCCGACAGGGGTGCGATTTTCCAGGTGTGGCTCTGTGGGTTAATGCGCTGGACTGCAAATTCTTTTGGACTGCAAAGTCACCGGTTCAAGCTCACCAGCCGCTCCTCAGAAACCCTACACAGGGTCGCTGTGGGTTGGAACTGACTGGACAGCACTTAATAACAACAGCGCTCTAAGACTCGGAGGACAATAGAGGAAGAGCCTGGAGGGGCACAGGTGAGACGGCGCAGATCCAGTTCTGGCCTCCAGAGGCTCCTTTCGGGCAAGGCACCGAGCCCTGGGACCTGAGAACCCCGCCCGAGCCGTGGGCTAGGGGACGAAGAGCCAGCGGGCCGGGCCTGTCCCGCGTGAGCAGCCAATGGACGTTTGGGGGCGGGAGCTGGGCGGACCGGCGGGCGGGACCGGCGGGCGGTGTGGCGGGCAGCGCGGGCCGGTGCTCTGCAGGCGTCGCGATGACCGCTCTGAGCCGGAGCCAGTCGGAGGAGGCCGACAGGTAAGCGGAATGCGGCCCCAGGGCCAAGCTGGGCCCCCGGATGGCGCCGCTAGGGGCCGCCGCCGAGCGGGACCGGGCTGTTCTGCCCCTGCGCCTCGGCGTCTCTGCCCGCTGGGCAGGCACTTCCCGACCGCCGGAATGCGGGCTCCTTGCCAGAGCTACGCCGCGCCGCCGGGGCGCCCCGGTGGCTTCGAGGGGTCCACAAGATCCAGGCTGAGTCCGTAGCTCCATGCGAGGGGTCCCACCCTGCGGGCAGTGCAGAGCACCCTCTTTGGGATGACTCCCACGGTCCACCCCTCCCACCGCTGTTCATTCATTCATATGCGCATTCATTCATTCCTCAGCCAGTTCTACCCAGTGCTGATGCCCATCCCACTCCCCTCTTTTCCCCGCCGGGTCTGCGCTTGTAGCGGCCCGCCAGTGCCCGCGAGGCGGCACGGAGCTGTCCCGGCACGACTCGGCCGCACCCGCGCGCCAGGCCGGTCTCTGTTGGGCGGGTTGGGGCCGGTCTCCCAGTCTCGAGTTCTGGTCCAAAGTTGCCCTAGGAGGAAGGAAGGTTCTTGCATCTGGGGAAAGGGTAATGAGATATGTCAGGCGGGAGGTGGCTTTGATGGCAGCACGGAGAATTGTGGCCACTGCCCTTTGGGGCCTTGTTGGGACCCTGGAGGTGGGATTTTTTGGGTGTAGACACAGCCCAAGAATTAGGAGGCAGAGTTCCTGTCCCCAGCTCCCTAGTCAGCTCTGAATGTGTCAGCCCTGACTGAGGGGCTATGAGCAGCTTTGCTTGCCCCCCTCCATCCCGTCTCTCGAATGTTTCAGAGTCCTGGCACTTGCTGGGGTCAGGCTCCTAGAGAATGAG